AATTAGAAAATTAGAATTTATAGTGAGAAGTGTGATATCATAAGTAGCCTTATTTGTCTCCATCTTTTGAGTTTCTTTATTCAGAAGCCATTTTCTTTAATAGTATGCATGACATGTTCTTTTCATTTCTCAATAAATTGTTGTTCTTACATGCATGGTTTAAATTTTTAGCCAAATTTAGTCATGGGCTAAATTAGGAAAGTAGAGTTCTGAGGTAAAAGTTCTTTGTGATTTTTTGTAGCAACACGATCTTTGCTAATTGTAATTTTTGTGATACTCGTTCATTACTCATTATATATACTAGCTGAGTGACTCACCCAAATGTGTTAATATTAAGTTAAGCATCAGTAAAGTTCTAAGTTTTCAATTAAAATTGTTTTAGTTCACAGCCTTTTCTGTTTTTAATGGTTAACACACTGGAAGAAAAGGCTTATGTTAAATACTTTATTATCTGCAATGCCAGTAATAAATTGAGTGTGTAATGCATTTACACACATAAATGTAATAGTCATCTGTAATGTATAATTAATGTAATATATTATGTACTTTTACATTATTTGACTTCTCTCTACAAGTCATCATGTCTCATTCTGTCAGTGTTATTTTTATGTTTATAAAACGAATTTTAATTTTTGCCTAAAGCAGTTACTACTGCCACCCATTGCTATGGGGTTGATGCCTTCTCACAGTGACTGTGTGAAACAGACAAGAATGCTAGTTATCATCAAGTAACTTGCTCTGAGTTAGTGCACCCAGTGACGTCAACTGGGAAAGTTCTCTCTGGTCACAGTGAACTTTTTTGTAAAAGCAATTTCTCTGGAACCCCATTTTTTTGTGATGGCTGATTTAAGAGAACAGTTTGCGGCTGTGCAGTTTTGTGTCCGGCTCGGGGAAAAATGCCACAGAAACTGTTCTGATGTTGAACACAGCTTACAAGGACAGTGCTATCGGAAAAACTCAAATATACAAATGGTTTTCTTGTTTCATAAAAAGTGACATGTTGATTCATGACAAACCTCTTTTTGGACATCAGTTAACTTCCCAAACAGACAAAAATGTCGACTTGTAGTGCACTTGGAGTTTGTTCCACCAGGTCAGACTGTTCATCAAGCTTTCTATGTAGAAGTTCTGAAGAGATAGCATAACAGTGGCAACAGAAAAGACCTGATTTGTGGCAGCTGGGGACTGGTTTTGCCACCACAACAGTGCACTTGCTCATGCAGCCAACTCAGTGCGCCAGTTTTGAGCAAAAAACAGCATGCCTCTCTTGCTCCATGTACCTTATTCATGCGACTTCACTCCACGCAGCTTCTTTTTGTTTCCACGAATGTAGAGGGACAGGAAAGGACAGTGATTTGATGATGTAGAAGAGGTGAAGAAAAAAACGAGGGAGGTGCTCACATCAGTCATCCAAACAGATGAGTTCAAAAAATGTTTCCAAGAACGGAATTGCAGATTTGACAAATGTATTAAGTGTAATGGAGAGTACTTTGAAGGTGATAAGGTTGTTTTGAAAAAAAAATTTAAATACATAGCTTTGGATAAAAATATTCATTATTTTTGGAGGGGGGGTACCCCTTCATATTCTATAGCTCACTACAGTGTTGGCCTTGTAATAGATTGGGTGATTCACAAACATTCATTTTGGCCATCTATTCCTTGACATTTAGAATTCCTTTGGGGTATCATTTTTTTACCCCTAAGTATGTTGAAGGCATCTTGAAACATTCCGTGATAATAATCCTTCATCTTTTTGCTTATGATAACCCTTCCCAATCAAATTGTATTTTTACCTGAACCAATTCATAAAATATCACCTATTTTGGAGGAAGAAAACTAGAGGAATTTATTAGCATCGTAAATTATTTGTGAAATAAGAAAAGTGACCAAAGTGATAATAGGAATGGGGGCACATGATATGTTGATTTTTCATTTCCATAAATTTGTGAGCGAAGAGGATATACTGCTCAAGCGATTGGTACCCTATAGAAAACCTGTTCACTTCTTAGGGTTAAACATGGCCCAGAGTCCTTACAAGCTGTGGTCACTGCAATGACATGTTCTTTTCCATTATGCCTGGTAGCACGGTGGGTTCCGTGAGCACTGGGCTGCTAACCACGATCTGGCAGTTCAAACCCAGCCATCTCTCCGTGGGAGAAAGATGAGACCGCCTGCTCGAGTCACGATTGACAGTCTTGGACCGCTAAAGAGGCCTCCCATGCTGTCCTATGGGGTCACTGAGTCAGAACGGACCTTGTTAGTCTCCACTGATAAAAAGGATTTTTTCCACCAGTGTGCCTTCGGATTCCCTGGCCATTGACACACTATTTTCTTGGCTTAGAATATTCTCTCACTCTACTTTTCTGCTTAACTGTTAAATATTTTCAGATGTTGACTTAGGTATCACCTCCTCCAGGACCTTGGCCAGCCACCCCAGTTGTAGTTCATCCGAGCATCGGGGAGTGCTGGCATGGCACTATGCTTCTCGTCCTTGCTTGATTCTCCCGCGGGAATAGCCTTCCCACGAGGCCACAGCCTTCAACATGGAGCTTGGAACATGGCCTGAAGTCAACAAACTAGATAGTGCTTGTGCAATTTCCCCACCCCTTTTTAACAGTGGTTTGTGGTGATTTGGCTGAAAGTTGACAGAAAAAAATTGGTTTTCCATTCAACAATTCATACACAT